TGTGTGTGTGCGTACGCGCATGCGAGTGTGTGTGTGTGTGTATATATATATGTGTGTGTGTGTGTGTGTGCGTGTGTGTGTGTGTGTGTGTGTGTATGTGTGTGTGTGTGTTTGTGTACACGTGGTGAAACACCAAACCAATGTGCCAGGATCTGGACAATAAAGATGATCTTCTCTCCTTCTTCCTTCTTCTCGATGACAGCAGCTAGACCGTCAGTCCGATGTCGCGCACAAACTGTGCAGTCCGCTACAACTCTGAGAGACTCCCATAGAGCTTTCTCTCAAGGGGAGTCACATTCTGCCAAACTGGGTGAAAGTGGGTCATTTTTAGAGGGGGGAGGGGAGGATAAGGGCTTCAGTGGCCTCGTGGTTAGGCTACCGGACTCGTAATCGTGAGGTTGTCGGTGGTCTAGTGGTTAGGCTACCGGACATGTAATCGTGAGGTTGTCAGTGGTCTAATGGTTAGGCTACCGGACTCGTAATCGTGAGGTTGTCGGTGGTCTAGTGGTTAGGCTACCGGACTCGTAATCGTGAGTTTGTCGGTAGTCTAATGGTTAGGTTACCGGACTCGTAATCGTGAGATTGTCGGTGGTCTAATGGTTAGGCTACCGGACTCGTAATCGTGAGTTTGTCGGTGGTCTAGTGGTTAGGCTACCGGACTTTTTGTAATCGTGCGTTTGCTAGTTCGGGGGTTTGAATCCCATCCTGTGTGGGAGCACACCGTTAGCTCAGTTTGTGTCATGCGGAGCCGCTGAGTCTGCTGGGATGTTGTATCCCTCTTGCCTCGGGTTGGTCCTGACAGGCAGGGTTGCAAGCCCACGTTTTAACCCTATCAGTACGCCCTGGGGTCATTTTGTAGCCCCGGGGTTGTATTCTTCACATTTTAGAATAATTCTAGTACGAAGATCTCTTTGAAACGTTCCGTATTTCTCAAAAAATCATTTTGACAGACTGCTATGCAAAGCCTGCGGATCGGATTAACGAGGAAATTTCCTCTTTGGGAAGTGGTGGCACAGAGTTCCCCACGTCATATGGATACGATAGTGAAACACGACGTACAGATAGGGTTAAGTGGTGGCACAGAGTTCCCCACATCGTACGGATACGATAGTAAAACACTATTACGGACAGGGTTAAGTGGTGGCATAGAGTTCCCCACGTCTTATGGATACGATAGTAAAACACTACTACGATAGGGTTAAGTGGTGGCATAGAGTTCCCCACGTCGTATGGATACGATAGTAAAACACGACATACAGATTGGGTTAAGTGATGGAACAGAGTTCCCCACGTCGTATGGATATCATGGTAAAACAAGACGTACGGATAAGGTTAAGTGGTGGCACAGAGTTCCCCACGTCGTATGGATACGATAGTAAAACAGGACGTACAGATAGGGTTAAGTGCTGGCACAGAGTTCCCCACGTCGTATGGATACGATAGTAAAACACGACGTACGGATAGGGTTAAATCCACCATGATGACCCAGGACTTTCTCTCCCCCCCCCCCCCCCAGGTCAGACATGCAACTGTCCAGCCCGGCTGTTGTCCTGTCCACCGGCCTGATTGACCAGCTGGAGCGTAGCCCGGTGACCCGGCCAGACATCCAGGCCATGTGTGAGATGGTTCAGGACACGGCGCACCGGGGCTGGCCATACCTCCTGGAGCCCGGCCATGCCGGGGATTCCAACCTGTGAGTCTGTTTGTTGTTTCTTGTTGTTGTTGTTTGTTGGTGGTATAGTGGTGTTGGTGTGGTTGTTGTTGTTGTTGGTGTTGTTGTTGTTGTTTGTTGGTGGTATAGTGGTGTTGGTGTGGTTGTTGTTGTTGTTGGTGTTGTTGTTGTTGTTTGTTGTTGTTGTTGTTGATGTTGTCCTTGTCCTCCTCCTCCTCCTCCCCAAATGTCAGATCTGGAACAAACATCAGCAATCGTGGTACACAACCTACATACACACGCACATATATCCACACACAGATGCACTAACTTGAATAGTCAGTAGACGAACATACAACAACAATATCATTCTGGCACACCTAACAATAGCTTATTGTTTTATATTAATGACGGTGTGAATGAAATTTGATCCGTCTTGATCCTTGCTTTGTTTTTCTACGTCCAGCGACCTCTCAGCACACCTAACAATATGTGAGACATCGTGGTGAAATCAGGCGCTTGTCAAAATAACGAGATGAAAAAAAATCAGCATTTTTTTCTTTCTATAGGCAATTTTTTTCAAATTTTATTTTTTTTGCTCAACACCTTTTATGTCCATTTAAAAACACATTTTTGTGTGGATTTTACTGAAAAACATTAACTAAATGCACAAAAATGTAATTTTCAGTTTCCAAGGACTCTGAGGCTATAGAAGTTACCACATTTTGGCAGCCATTTTCTCGCTAATTTTACCTCTGAAACCATGCGGCCCTGACATTTTCACCAAAAGCAAGGCAAATGAACAGGCTTTAAGATTATACCAAAAACCCCTTATGTCCAAAAATTGAGGAGCAGCTGATTCCACCATGTCGTGGTACATATTATTACACAATAAACATCCCTTGTTCCCTCAAATAAAAGCATCAATCAGAAGTCAAAGACCTAGGCTTCTGACAATGACAATGACAATGACAATGACAATCTTTATTCATCTCGCTGGGAGAAATTTGTCTTGGTCGTTAACAATGGCAGTAGACGTTACAAAAGTTAAACTTAAAGGTGCCTCACGTAAACGCACAACAAGACAGGACATTAGGCCAAGTATACATGTCTCACGGGCTGGGACAACCCGCTCCGTAAAACATTCCTTCTCTCTCTCTCTCTCTCTCTCTCTCTCTCTCTCTCTCTCTCTCTCTCTCTCTCTCTCTCTCTCTCTCTCTGTCTCTCTCTCTCTGTCTCCCTCCCTCCCTCCCTCTCTCTCTCTCTCTCTCTCTCTCTCTCTCTCTCTCTCTCTCTCTCTCTCTCTCTCTCTCTCTCTCATTTGTAGCACTGTGTGTTCAGTAACCTCACTGCAGTTGGTACGAAAGAATTTCTATATATCTGTCTGTTCTTGCTTTTTTGGAAATGTATCCTTTACTGCGGGTCGATAGTTGAAATTCCGATGTCAGTGGGTGGCTATGGTCACTAAGCATTATTTCCGCCTTTTTTAGAACGTTTGTCTTGTGCAGATATTCAAAGTTACTTAGGTCTCTACCAATTGTTCTTGATGCCTTTTTTATCAACTTATTTAGTTTTATAATGTGATCTGTAACAAAGAAAGATACAGAAAGTCATTTTTACCATCATCCATCAAAATGCTTCCTTCTCAGCCATTTGTTATGACTATCCACACAACCTCAGAATAACGTTGAGTTGCAGTCAGAATACTGAGTATGTATCTTGCTTAAGATTATTATTGTTTATATTACTGCTCATTTATATTATGTGTGTGATTATAAGCCTGTGTGTGTGTGTGTTTGTGCTTGTTTGTGTGTGTGTGTGTGTGTGTGTGTGTGTGTGTGTGTGTGTGTGTGTGTGTTTGTACGTGGTGAAACACCGAACCAATGTGCCAGGATCTGGACAATAAAGATGTATATTATCTTATCTTATTACCTCATGTTGACAAAGTTATGATCCTTGCTCTGTCCGTCTGATTCCACCACGTCGTGACACATATTATCATCTCATATTGACAACGTTATGATCCTTGCTCTGTTCGTCTTCATCCAGCGACCTCTCGGCTCACGACCAGATCTGCCACGGGCCTGGCTCAGACAGCAGCGACTACAGCGACGGCGCAGCGGCGAAGGGGGCGGTGCTAGAACCAGACGACCTTGACCCTCAGCCCAGCATTGACCTGAACGTGCGACTGTCGGAGTACCTCCCTGGCTGCGGCACACTGCTCGTCGAGGTCGCGCCCGCATGTCTGCTGCACAACGCCACAGACTTGACCCTGAAGGTCGCGGCCGCGCCCGTAGAACAATCCCTGACCTTGAACCCTGGACAAACTCTGGCCCCGCCGCTAGGCAAAGTAGGTGACAGGGAAAGTAGGTGATGGGGGAGAGAGAGAAAGTTCTAATGTGACATGAGGCATGCTGACAAAATCAGTGTTGCAATCCTAGAATGGAGATATTGGCTGAAAATCAACACAGGGGTTAAATTTGCAGATTTTTTTACTGTTCATTATTGCCTTTCTCACCCTGCACCAGGGAGGATATCCGTGGTCTTCCAAATCCTATCTCCAGAGATATGAAAGCAGCCCGTGCCTTTCCAATGCGGGACTTTATTTCAGCGCCTGTTCCTCCCTCTCTGTCAATTATACTCCCAAGATAGCAGAAGGATTCAACGTTTTCTAGTGCCTTTCCTTCTATTGCAACCTGCTCCTTTCGTTGTGCATCTGTCCTTAGGACCTTTGACTTTTTAAAACTGTTGCCATCTTCTTTATGTTTCACAAGTCGTTCATGCTAATAAACTGTACCAATTCTACCCGTAGATTGAACGAATCTATGTCCATAGTGCTAAGATCTGAGAAGTACCTCATTTTGTCAGCACCCCTCACTCATTGTTTCTTATTTATCTTTCTCTCCCGTTGGTGATGGGGGAAGTTGTGATGTGTGAGGCGTGCTGATGAAATGAGTTACTGCTCGCTGGAGGTATCAGCCAAAAACTGATACAGGATCAAATGTGTAGATCTGAAAGTGCAAAGCTCATGAGCGTTTTATATTTTGTTCTTCGAAGTAAATACTTTCCGGTCAGTGGCCGTTTTGCTCAAGTTTTTGTTTGAGACTGGAGTTTAACAAAACAGTTTGGAACATATTCTTTAATTTTTCTGCTTTTCTGATTGGTTGATTGTTATCGGATTTCTTTCAGGAGTTTCAGCTCTCGGTTGGAGATGAAAGTGGAGAGGCGCAGTCGAAAACTATCCAAATGTCGGGTAAGTCATCAGTTACACTCTTTGTACCTTTGATCAACATTGTTCAGTAAAATCCACACAGAAATGTGTTTTTAAATTCACATTAAAGATGCTTAGCAAAAAAAACCAAACCCTTTTAAATTGCCAAATGTATGGAACAATACCAGTTTCTTCCTTTTCATTATTTTGGCGAGCGCTTCATTCTCCATAATGTCTCACAACTGCAAACGTTGTACGCCACCATGGACACAGGCTCTCACACTCTCAACAGTAAGGTCTTGGGTTCAAATCTTGCTAAGGGCCCGACGTTGTGTCCTTTGGAAAGGCACTTTACACAAATTTTCCTCACCTCGCCCAGGTGGGAATGGGTACAGCACTATGGTCATTGAAAGGTCTTGGCAGTTTGTAAGTGTAATAATAATTAGTACTCTTATTATTGTCATTATTATTATTATTATTATTATTATTATTATTATAACTATTAGCATTATAATTGTTAACATTATTATCATTTATAAGTTTAATTATTATTATCATTAATATCATTGTCATATATTACTAGCTGGGCGCCTTTTCGATGGAAGTGACAATTGGTGCATTAGCATAAACTGAAAGTCATTGGCCTACTTTATTTACACTCTACTGGAACGGAGCAATAAATCTTGAGAGATGCAAAAAATTAGAAGATTTAGATATATAGAGATGGATAGATTGATTCTCTATTCCGCTTTCATGGTTGTACTCTCCAGAATTTCAAAGGTGTGCACGGCTAGTGAACGGAAACCTCACTTGTTTACGATGGCGTCTTAGAAGACGGACTTTTCCAAGATTAGATCTAAACGAAACTAATGAAAAACTGAGAATTAAACTACAGTGACTTCAGGCTCCTCAGTAAAACTGTGCGCCCTTTAAATGATTCTGAACCACCATTAATTTTTTCAAATTCGAAAGTTCAGAGGTTCCATATGTACAGATTCCAATAATCATGACCGGGCCTGTGTATGTTAACTTGTTTGTAATTGTGTGTGTGTGTGATCAGAAGAGCCGATGGACTACAAACGCTACAACGAGGACATCGGACGCATTCTCTTCATGGACGGCTATGTGCACGTGTCATTTGTGTGGCCCGCGGGTGGAGACACGGGCGCTCGGGTGAGTGGGTGAGACTGTAGCAGTGGGTGGTTGAGGCCGTAACGGTGGGTGGTTGGTGGGTGGTTGGTGGGTGGTTGGTGGGTGAGGCCGTACCGATGGGTAGTTGGTGGGTGGGTGAGTGGGTGTGGTTGCTATTTTCTTAGAGGGTTGGTGTTATTTTACTGTTTGTTTGGGGTATAACAGTGGGTGGTTGGCAGGTGCTCGAGGACATCGGACGCATTCTCTTCATGGACGGCTATGTGCACGTGTCATTTGTGTGAATGGTGGGTGGAGATACGGGCGCTCGGGTGAGTGGGTGAGACTGTAACGGTGGGTGGGTGGGTGAGACTGTAACGATGGGTGGTTGGTGGGTGAGGCCGTAACGATGGGTGGTTGGTGGGTGGGTGAGTGGGTGTGGCCGTAATGGTGGGTGGAGATACGGGCGCTCGGGTGAGTGGGAGAGGCCATAACAGTGGGTGGTTGGCAGGTGCTCCTATGTGGTTGGCTCCTTCTTTCCTGTCAAACAACATTTATCACCCTTGTCTCTCTTTCTTCTTTTCTTTATCTGTAATTCTAGTAGCTTCTTTAATCTTCAACACTTTAGTGATATATTTGTGTTTTAAGAACAGAAAAACTCTTACTAAAACTACACCAAAATATGAAATCTATTTTATGCTTAGATTCTGCTGGAGCTGTGTTTATGTGGAAAAACAAACGGAACAGAATGCAAATAGAGAATGGATTCATATCTTTATGGGAGTTGTGCTGACAAAATGAGTTTTTTCGGATTTTAATCCTTTGGACGTATGCACATCAAATTCATAGGCTGAGTTTGTACAATTAACAAGTGAGAAATGATTAAAGACATGTTAAACTTGAAGAAAATATCATTAGTTAAAAATCTACAAATTTTACTTCAGTGCTGATCTTCTGCTGATATCTCTGTTCATGCATTGCAATAGCATTCTCATTAAGTCTGCACTATTCACAGATTTTGTCACTTTTGCCGACTCTGTATTTTCCCCCCAGGTGACCTTTGTGACCGTGACCTCTGACTTCCAGCACGGCATCCGGGTCGTCTGCGTGAGGGAGAGGTTCGCCTTGACCAACCAGAGCGGCATGACCTTGACCTGCAAGCTGTTGGCACTGCCTCTTGGGTGTCGGCGGGTCAGCCTGTGTGAGGAGACCGCTGTGACCAACGTGGTGCAAGGTCAGTGGGTGGGTGGTTCAAGGTCACTGTGTGGGTGGTTCAAGGTCACTGTTGTGTGGGTGCAGCGTTATACCAAGTCGGCTAGTAGCGAATGACTTTACACTGCTTTAATGTAGCATACAGGTCTTTAATGAAATAATCAGCTATTTCCACATTTTGTACTGTTTGGATAAAATTCTTCTTTTCATTAAGCCTTTCCCATAGAGTTGAGAAATATTCTGTTGGTAAAAAGTTTATTTGGAAGGCGTTACGACAAAATCAGCTAATGCTCGAATACCCGAATGGAAATATTGTCCGAAAATCGACACAGAGGTCAAATTTGTAGATTTTGAACTAATGCCCTTTTCTTCGAGTTTACAATGTCTGTTATCATTTCATACGAAAAAACTGTACACACTCAGCTTATAACTTTGACCTATGTTTGTCCATTGGGCTAAAATCTGAGAAGTATCTCATTTTGTCAGCATGCCTCACATTTCTCCTCTTATTTCTTCTCTATTGTTGTAAAACAGTATTACAGTTCCCGATAGATAGATGGAAAGATGGATGGATGGATGGATGGATGGATGGATGGATGGATGGATGGATGGATGTATAGACAGATGGATCGATAGATAAATGGATGGATGGGTGGATGGATGGATGGAAAGATAGATAGATAGATAGATAGATAGATAGATAGATAGATAGAGAGATAGAGAGATAGATAGATAGATAGATAGTGGATGGTTGGTGGGTGCTCTGGTGTTGTTTGCTCTTTCTTTCCTATAAAAAATCTGTTGTCTCTATAACTCCCCTCCTTCTTTTTTTGTGTATGTTACACTCTTGTAACACCTTTAATCTTCAGCACTTATATAACCTTATTGTGTTGCAAGTGCCGTAAAATTCTTACTAAAACTAAAACTTTTGTTTCCAGGACGAGACAGCGACCCAAGCGACGAGAGTTCTGACCCAGGCCAGAGGTCAAAGGGTCAGGAGCCTCTTCCGTTGTTTGGGTGGGCCACAGTAAATGAGGTCGGGGGTCAAGCAGGGGTCAAGTCTGAAGGCAATGAGGACAGTTTGGACCCGACGTTTGTCTGTTATATTGCCTTCGCCGTCCATAGGGAAAGAGAATCAAGGTTTGTATTTGTGTCACGACGCGGTGGAATCAGGCGCTCGTTCAATTTTGCCGTTATGGAGTTATTGGTACCGTCTTAAAGCTTTTGTTTTTTATTTGAAAAAATTCTCAAATATTTGCGTGTGTGCCTAGAGAAAGGTACCAAAAGTCGCCACAGACCATTTTGAGCTACAGGCTGATAATGACAAAAAACACCTTTTTTGACCAAAATGTGTTTCCATAAAAAAAATGATAGTTCCGCCCTTTCTTAACTATGTGTTAAAAGAGTTTTTGGTGACTTGACTTCTAAATATTTGTGAGGCAACGTGGTGGAATCAGGCTCTCGTCAAATAATCAAAGTGAAGAAACTTGCATTTTTCCACAGGTTTGTGAATTTTTTTCAAATTTTTGTTTTTTGGCTCAACACTTTTCATGCCCATTGAAGAACTCATTTCTGTATGGATTTTTCTGAAATTTACCAGTTACCACGGATTCTCAAGTTAAGGAAATAACTAATCTTTGACGGCCATTTTCTCACTAATCTTACCTCTGAAAACAGATGATCCCCACGCCCTTCATTCGCAAATATCTCGACTTGTATTCAATATAAACGGATATTTTTTTTACCCAAATAAAGACAAATGAACAAGTTTTAAGATGATACCAATAACTCTACATACCCAAAAATTGACGAGAGTCTGTTTCCACCGCGCTGCCTCACATTTTATTTTGAATTATTTTGAGGTAGGGTATGTTTTAAAAAGATAATAAAAACGGCTTTTAAAAGGTGCTAAAATCTATTCTTGAAGCATGTTTTCTCTTCACCACTATGTTTTACCATTGAATTGTAATAATGATATTGATGTCAACTGAATGTCAAAGTGGAAATGAATTTTCCATGAACAGGTACATTAGAAACAATTGAATCATCTTTTTAAAAAAAGTATTTATGCGTTCTAAACTTAAAAGCTAATTTTCTCAAAATTAGATCTTTATACCCTACCCCGCAAAATGTGCAATATCTCAAAAACTACTTGAGATATCTCAAAAATTCACAAACCACTGTGTTTAGCTTTGAATGTCCTATTAGGTACAACCCTTAACTCAAAATGGTCAAAATCCGACTTTTGGTACCTTTCTATAGGCACACACACACATTTTAATAAGAAGTGGAAATATTTGCAATTGAAGGTGAAGGGGGTTATCTGGTGTCAGAGGTGACATTAGCAAGAACATAGCCGTCACAGTTCAGTGACTTCCTGGTGTGAGAGGTGACATTAGCAAGAACATAGCCGTCACAGTTCAGTGACTTCCTGGTGTGAGAGGTGAAACTAGCAAGAACATAGCTGTCAAATTTAAGTGACTTCCAAAGCTTGAGAGTCCTTGGAAACTGCAAGTTTACACTTCTTATGCCTTTGATCAATGTTTTTTAGAAAAAAATCCGCACAGAAATGTGTTTTTGAATGGACATAAAAGGTGTTCAATTCAAATTCTATTTATATCTACATGATCTTTTCACCATCGCTGTAAAGCCACTGTAAATTTCACAAAGGGACAATAAAGTGTTATCTTATCTCTTCCTATCCCACCCCACCCTACCCCTTCCCTTCCCACCCCACCCCC